CAGGCTCACAGCTTCTGCACACCAAACTTCATCCTACATGTTCTGGAGGAACATCTTTTTAAAGTATACAGTTTCCCGGGGGCCTGAGCGGCTCAGTTGGTTAAGCGTCTGCCTTTGGCTAGGGTCATGATCCCAGACTCCCGGGATCAAGTCCCGCATCGGGCTCCCTGCTGGGTGGGGAGTCGGCTTCTCCCTCTGCACCACCCTCCCCACCCTCATGCTCTCTCTCTCTCAAATAAATAAAATCTTAAAAAAAAAAGGTATGCAGTTTCCCTAAACTTCAACAGAGAACACTCAACTGAATTTTATTTTTCCTCAGTGACCACACCCCTACCAAGACAAGCATTTACCCCCTCTGTGCTCTTAGGGTCTTCTGTTTCTCCATCTTTTGCCTAGTAAAGGCAGAAATGAGTGAGCTTATCACTGACAGTCCCCACAAGCCACCTGGATGGCCAGGGGACAGGAACCCAGATGACCCGCTGTGCCTGCTGCAGCTTACCGGATCAAACTCCTGAGTGTGGGGTGGGGGCGTCCAGCCCTTGGTCTGCAGCAGCTCCACACCCCAATTCCATGGGAAACCTAAGGCCAGTTAGCCCCAACAACCCCAAGCCCCCATCACAATCCTAGTACTACTACAGTCCCCCAACTGATCACTCTGACAACTCTCCTTGTTTTCTCCATCCTAGACCCTGCCCAAGTTCTGTGTGGACAGATTCTGCACATGTGGCCTCAGAGCTCTTGGTCTCTGACAGCCTCTGTCTCTTGGCCACCACACACTCCTGGCATGGGCCCTCACGTGCCCTGCTCCTGTGCCCCGCTCCCCTTCAGTGCCTCCCCACCAAACCCTCTTTTCAGGCTGCCCTCTACCCTCACTGGGCATCTCCCCAGGGTGTCCATGTCCTCATATCCTGGTTGCTGGCTGCCCAACCCAGCAGACCCAAGGCCTAAGCACTTGAGAAAACCTCACAGGGCCCAGCACTCCATGCCACTTCTATCCCTGTGCTTGGGGCTTCCTCCCCACCTCCCTCAGAGCCCCTCTATGCCAGTGCTCCCAGGGCCAAACCCACATTTCCTCTTGACTCTCTACCCTCCCCCACCCCTTTCCCCCCTCCAAACTTGGGTCTGCTCCCACCAGGGGCCTGGGCCTGCATCTCTGACTGGAGCCCTCCCCACTCCCCCTACCTCAAAGGGCTGCCAGGCAACAGGACTCTGAGCCCGCTTAACACTTGCTGCCCCAGCAAGGCCAGCTACACTGGCTACCTCCCGTCTCTGTCACCACTGATTGATCTAGCCATCTCCCTCCCTGGAAGGAGGATGTGTCCATCTCAGAGCGCCCCTGAGTCCTCAGCCCTGACAGCCAGTTGGGTACCCAGTCACTGGGTGAGCAAGTGGCAACGCCCCCTCAAATGAGGAGGGCTGTTCCCAGTTTCTCTCTCCTGCCCATTGATTCCTCAATTCAGCCTTGTAGTCTACCCACCTCTGCCCTGCCCTGTCCCTTGGCCCTCCCCCACCCAGCCGGCCTGAGCTCCAGGTGGCACCCAGAACAGGGAGGTAGGTGATGGTGGGGAGGGACATGGAGAGGACAGCCAGGGCACCTGTGGGATCTCAGGCCCTCACACACCCAGCTGGTTCTGGGGCTCCAGCCTCATCACACGTGGCAATCCCTGGAAGGTACCCTTGGTTCCGGAAGCAGGCAGGAAAGGGTAATCACAGCTTATACTCTAGGCTACCTGTCCAGGTGGGTGACAGCATTTAAGGGCCAAGGCATATCTCACACCTAAGGCTTTATTCTCAACATCAAAGTAAAGGCTCTCCTGTCCCTCTGCCTATTGTCCTCTTCTGGGGTGAGGGCACCTCCACAGAGTACAGGTCTCACCTAGCAGAGCTGGCCTCTGGGGAGCAGAGGGTGTTGGTCCCATTTTAGAAGAACTGCAGGTTGTCTCTAATAAACTGAGCCATGAAATCGTGTCCCGACCTCTAAGCTGTGTGGCAGGAATGACCCATAAGGTCCTGCCCTTGCAGCTCATCTCGAAGCTGCTCTGACTTTCTGGGGGCCACAGCAGTTTCCACAGAAACAAGAAAGAGCACCAACCCCCAGAGATAAACCAATAAACGCAACCTGCGAAAGGAGAGAACAGGCAGCAAGAGAACCGGAGGGAACCGGGGGGCCCTGGAGAGAGAGGCGAGTGCGTGGCAGCTGGGCCGTGGAGCAGAACCGGAGAGGCCGCAGGCCGCGGGGCCGAGGAAAAGGAGGGCCTTGCAGGGGGACTACAGTTCTTGGCAGAGAGAAAGGAGGCCTCTGGAGGTCAGAGAGAGACACAAAGAGAGTAGATAGAGCGTGGATCAGTTAGGAAGCCTGCGCTCCAGTGCCCAGGGCCTCTCAGGACAGGGGGCGTGGGTACCCAGGGCCCTGGCACTCCCACCCACGGGGGCCCAGCCTGCACCCCACCCCAACACCAGCCCCTTCTCAGGATGTCTGTGAGTGCCTGAGCGCTTCTGACCAAGCATTCAGAGCGTTTCTGAAATTGGGAGCAGATGCGACACACCAGGAGGCCGCAGTGGGAGCTCTACTGGACACCCTTATAGCAGCACCTGCTTATCCCCCAGTCATGACTCTCAAGAGTGAGGAGGCCCCTGAAACTTGAGCCCAGTGCTGTGCCCACTCAGGCCTCTGCATCCCGTGTCTAGGGTAGCCCGGGGCTGCCACACTGACCCCTGTCCTGCAATCTGAGGAAGGAAGCTCGGCTGGCTATGTTCCTGAGCAGCACCTGGGCCCCCGTCGGGTACAGACGAAGAGGGGGCAGGAGGGCCTCTGCCTGGCCCACTCCCTGAGCACTTTCCTGGACGCTGTACACACCGTGAGAACAGGAACCAAAACCACCTGGTTCCTGTCTTTGTGGAACGAAAGCACTTCTACCCAAGGAGGTAGGCAGAATCCTAGATGAGGCCTGGCCTACTTGGGCCACCCTGGACACCCATTTTGCATCCGCCTGATCTGGACTTGCACATGTGCACTCTCAAGGGTAGCAACGAAGCCAAAGCTGGGGACTGGAAACCAAGAAGGGAGCCCTTGGATGGTCCCTGCGGGTCCGGGAAGAAGACCCACAGTAGAACCTGGCCACTCAGGGCCAAGCCTGCGTTGTGCCTGGCGCTGCCCACTTCCCTCCCCTGCCACCCACCGCCTGAGCCACAGGGGCAGGGCGCACCGGGCCCAGCTCTGACCTCGGGTCTCTGGCACGCTCGATGTGGGCAGAGACACGGCTGCGGGGTCCTGGGCCTCGCCCACCAACCTCTGGCCAGCACACATGGACTTGAGCATCTGGAAGACGGCGAGGGGCGCCACGTTCAGCTTCAGCAGGTCCACCAGGATCCTGGAGAGAACCCAGGCGGTGGGCAGTGAGCCCTCCTTGCCCGGGCCTAGGAGGGCCACCTCCCTCAGGACCCCAACTCTACTCTGGGCGCCCAAAGGGGTCCGAAAAGGGCGGGAGGTCTCCCCCAGACCAAAGGCCGGGGCAGGGGAGCGGGAGAGCAGGGGCGTCTGGGGGTAGGACGAGCGCGCACTCCCACCCGCTCGCGCTCACTTGAACACGTCGGGGTCAATGGCGCCACCCGCCGCCTGCGCCAGCTCGTACAGTTCCATCTCCTCGGCGCTCAGCACCTTCTTCCGCCGCAGCGCGAGCTTCTGCAAGGCCGCCTCCAGCCCCGGGGGCGCTCCCGGCCCGGGGCCTGCGCCCGGCGCCGCCATGTACACGACCGGCGAGAAGGTGAGCGCCGCGCTCGCCCCTCTGCCCCCGCCTCCGCCGCGCCCCTCCGCCGCTCCCACAGCGCCCTCTACTGGCCCCGCCGGCCCTTCCTCTCCCTGCCGCGCGGCAGAGGGCAGGGACCGGTTTGTCTCGTCTCCGCCTTTTGGTCCGCATTTACCTGCGGCATGAGACGTGATAAAAGCAGAAAAATGTTCATCTTTAGCCCCGAAGGCTGACCTATAACCTGCATAGTTTTGATAAGGATCAATAAGTACTGGCTGCTACATTCTTAAAGGGTCTCATGACTGCCAGTTAATATCGAGCTGAATGATAAGCACCAGAGAAATCTTGGGAAAATAGCTTTAGGACTAGAAATTCCGAGAAGACATTTATGATCCAATACTCCCTGCACGGCTTCTCCGCCTTTTGAACACTAAGCATATAACCACCAGCTTCATACAGCAAAAGTGCAGCAGTTTCTGCCTACAGGTCCTGTCCCTGTTGCTACTTCAATGAACTTACTAAGTTGCACCAAGAGTCTCAAGAATTCTTTCCTGACGGTTGCACTCAGTGCTCCACAATAGGGAGATGTGTTAGGCGTGGGGGATACCGAGGCGGACCGCAGAGACACGTTTCTGGGCGATCAGGGTCAGACTGCATTGGTCATTCTCACTTGGGCAGCAGCCCCAGCGCAGTGCCTGGCATATAGTAGGCGCTCAATAAAGGCCTGTCAAAAGATCAGTCATCGGGGCACCTGGGTGGCTCAGATGGTTGGGCGTCTGCCTTCGGCTCAGGTCGTGATCCCAGGGTCCTGGGATCGAGTCCCGCATCGGGCTCCCTGCTC